AACTGTGCTGATCCTCACCTGTCACACTGCAGCCCATGGGGAACCCTGAATTCATGGAACTGAAGCCAAATTTCAGCCTTTCAGTGAGTTCCTGTGCATCTCCCCCTCTGCAATTTCCCCTCTGGAGGGCAGCTCTGTTCAACACTGGCACAAATAAGGAAAAATCTGTTTGCAGTTTCTCCTCCCAGGAAAAGCAATTCCCAAAATGCAGCTGCTGGGGTATCCCAGGGTGTCCCCAGTAAACTGAGCAGCAGAGCAGCAATGGGACTCAGGGATGCAGAACTGGAACTGGACGTGATGCTGTTTGTGTACTGTGCGTTAAAAACAAAATCATCTCAAAGAGGGAATAAATAAAGCCAAAAAAGACAGGTTTGGACCCAGAGCAGCACCCACACCACCCCAGGTGAGAGCAGCTCCTCTCCCACCAACAACAGGCACGAGACACATTTCACTTGCAGGCACAACCTGGCTGCTGTAGTGTAGCTTGGTTTTATTTATGTCCACAAATATTTCAAAAAAATTACAAAATACTCAAATGGAGAGAACACAGAAGTCACGATTTCTGGGTTTCTACTCTGTTTACACTGTGTTATCCCATGGCAAACTACTCATATATACATTAAGCTTCAAGATATATATAAATGTAGCAGTCAGAATGTACACTCTGCTCAACGGTGCAGTGAAACAAGCTCAACCATGACGACATAGAACAAGAGAGACGCTTCAAAAACACCAAAGCAAAATCTTAAAATTAACTTTTGGAACAGAGGAAAAATAAAGAGAGATTTCTTGAAAGGAAACCAAAAGGTCTGGGTTGTTTTGTTTAACAGGAACACCGAGATGGCTTCAGAAGCCACTGCAGGTAAAGTTGTAGTTAATCACTGGCTAAAACTGAGCAATTTCAGTGCTTAATTGTGAATCATGTGAACAAAAAAGCTCCCATAAAATTATCAGAATGCTCTTCTGGGAGAAAAAAATATCAATGAACAGCTTTAGAACAGACAGCAACTTCAGCTGAGAAATAAGGAATACAGAGAGGAACACTGGAGGGAATGAGCTTTTCCTTTTTCTGAAGAACTATGGCTAAAAAACAGCAGGAGAAGAGTCGGAAGAAATGGCTGAAGTGGCTGAACTCTCCCAAACTCCCCAATCCCAGACAGTAAAACAAAAGGAGGGGAGAAACTGAACTGAACTGTGTCTGATGAGACCCTCAAAGCACTAGAACCAAAAGCGGGCAGTCTCTGCTGGCTGAGCAGGCCCATCCTCCTCTCCTGGCTGCTCAGGAACCCTTTCCCCATCACTGCCCCAGCCATGGAGAGGATGAACCTCCCTTGATTTCGTACTGACCTGCTGTTCCCCACCCCAGAGCAGCCTGTGCCCCCAATAGCACTGACCAAACCCCTCAGCACTGGAGCCTGGGCACAGCAAAAAGGGAATTTCTGCAGAAAACCCCCTGCCTCAGTGGGCTGGAGCATTTTCACTGTGGGCTGAGCAGCAGAGGAGGATGAGCCCTGTGCCTGCACTGAGTAACTACAACTTTACCAGAGGGGCTCGGGACAGTGCTGGACACAACCATCACACTGGACAGGCCACAGCAGCAGAGAGCACTCCAGAGTGGAGAGAGGGAATGGGGGAGTTGTGCACCAGCAGGAAAAACGAGCAGCAGGTTCAGATGTCCATTGGTCGCATCACCCTCTGCTCCAGCCAACAAAAACCGGGGAAATAAACGTTAAAAACCTGCTTGGTGAGCAGAGCTGTGCCCTTTAATGCTCTCTGTGCTCCTCTCCCCTGCCCAGCCTGGGGGAGCAGCACGAGGAGCTGCCCTGTGCCACAGCTCCCACAGCTCCTCAGGGACACTGCCCTGCTGCATTGAGCACTTTCTGCTTACAGAAACCCAAACTCAAACAGCCAAAGAGAAAAACAGACTGCTCTTTGCAACACAACCGAATGAGAAAGTTGCCAAATCCACTTTCCTAAAGAGCCCGTGCAGCAGGAGGGCAGGAAAAGCAGCTCCTCCCCAGGTATGCACTGCATACACAACCCTGGCTGCACTGCTGAGCCATGAACAGCTAAAAAAGAGATTTTTACAAGAGATTATTTCTCTGAACCTTCTGCCCAAAGTCAAACCCAATGGAGCTGGGTTAGGGTTCAAATCTCCCAGGAAAGAAGTGTTTATGGCCACACAAAAATGAACCGTTGAAGGCGGCACCCAAAGGGCCAGCGGGGTCCAAGGGACATCTGAGCTGCTGAGAAACCCAACTCAACAAAATCAGCTGCAGAACAGAGAGATGGAACACCAACAAAAACCCCCAAACAACCAAACCAACCGAAAAACCAAGAACAGAAACAGTCATTTGCAACATTATCCCTGCAAATCCCTTTAATGCTTATTGTTGATATCAAACCAAATGTCAAGCTTTTACCCATTTGAAATTATTGATAACCCATTGTTCCCTTTAATTAAAGGGATAATTATATATATATATTTTATTAAAAAATCAACTCTGTATTCTGTCAATACCAGGTAGGAATTCACAATTTGTGATGTTACTGAAAATCAAGATAAACGTTTCTGGAGTTTGTTTTGTTTTGTTTCTCCCCTCTACCCAAAAAAAGTTATTTACAGACTTAAAAAGCCATGCTGCAGAACTGAGCTCTCTTTTAAAATTATGAAGATTTCCTACAATGTATTAAAATAAAAGTAGATTTTTTTTATTATTATAGCACTTGGATTCAGAGCTTGTTATGTCACCTACTTGCAATCCTTGTTTTTTTTTTTTAGTTACCTATAGATGCATTGAGTGTCCCTTCACGCACAGTGACTCGTGTTGTGAACCTGATTCTAGCACCTACTGAAAACAAACTAGTAAGAAAAGAAAGAAAAAAAAAAAAACCAAGATTGCAGGAAGTTCTCTGAATGTTCCACACAGTCCTGTATTTCCAAGAGGCTTCTGAATACGTTTTCATGCAGGGAGACCCACACCAGTCTTGAGAAATCTTCTCTACAAATGAACACTATGCTGATAAGTCTCTACTTGTCGGGTGGTTGCTTCTGTTTTAAATATATAAAGAAATCTTTATAAGATATTCTTTTCCTTTTGTAGCTCTTCTTGTATGTAAAAATGTTCCACTCCTTCCCAAGGACTGGGGTTTCCATAGCCAGCGTTACAAATAAATAATTTATTACAACTGTTTGTCGCCTTCTTTTTTCAGTCGACTGCAAGAGAAAGGAAACTCATTTTAACACATTTTAACAAAGGAGGTGTGAGACACAGGAGATGCTCTGCCCTCCTGCAGGGAGCAGGGCCTGCAGCTTTTCAGCTCTGAGCACTGCCACAGACATACTGGATGAAAAATCCTTCTGTTAGGGTCTTTTCTCCTGAGAAGCTTCAGCTTCTCCATGTTTTGCTGCTTTGGAATGTGATTGGGAGAATTGTTTACCAGCATGTGAATTGTTTTTACTTGATGACCAATGACAGCCAGCAGTGTTGAGGCTGTGAGCAGTCACAAGATTTTATTATCATTCCTTCCTTTCCTTGCTAGCCTTCTGATGAAATCCTTTCCCTCTTTTAGTACAGTTTTGATATATCACTTTAATATAATAAATATAATAAAATAAGAAAATCAGCCTTCTGAACCATGGAGTCAAGATTCTCATCTCTTCCCTTGCTGGGGTTGCCTGCAAATTCCACAGAGCAGCACCTGGGCACTGCCCTGGCACAGGGAGCCCCACAGGTGGGCACCAGTGCCAGCTGTGCAGGTGGGACATGACTGGGGATCCTGCAACAGGACACTCAGCTACTCCAATGCTGTGCCAGAAATCTGCATTTCCCTTCCCACCTGCCCAGAGCAGCTCTGAGCACAGCTCAGACATCAGGGCCCAGCCCACAGCGAGAGGAGAAAATTCCCAGTTAAAAGAAGGAATGTGTAGAAACCCACGGAGCCCCCAGGTGCCCAAAGCCCCCTTGCAGGCTCACCTGTAGTAATCTTCCTGACTGGGTAGGTGCCCGCCGTGCATGTGGGGGTGGCCGTGCAGCCACTGCTGCTCCATGGCCAGTCTCTGCAGCTCCGCCGACTGCGCGTGCATGGCCTGCAGCTGGTGGGCTGCTGACATGGGAGGGGGGATGGCCCCAGGCAGGTCCCGAGGGTAGGGGGTACCTGGGGGGACAGGCAGCACCTTCACACTCTGCTTTGCTCCTTGGTCACCCCAAAAAGCCACCCAGCCCACCCACAGCACAGCTCAACTTCCCCCACTGAGAAATGTGAAACGCCACGATAAAAAATAACACTGCAGATCACAGCCCAGCCCTGCAAAGCACCACAAAATGCTCTCACCAAAGACTGGATGCCGGAGCATTTCATGCTCGTGAGGTGGCTGCCCTAGCAATGGGTTGGGGATGGTCCCAGGTGGGTAGGGAAAACGTGCCAGGTGGGGTCCAGCTGCTAAAGGATCCACCAGGGGATGGACAGGTCCTGCTGAGCCTGAGAGAGACGGAGAGAAAGAGTTTCCACAGGGGAAAGCAACACAGAGCCAGAACAATTCCCTCAGGTGGTGCCCAGCACCAATGTGGGGTCACTGTACCTCTGTTCATCCCCACCCTGAGGAACACAGGGGCTGTAACAGCCTCGAGCACCACTGGAGCCACCTGGAGCAGGCACCAAGAGCCCCTGACTGTGCTTGAACCTGGCAGAGCTCAAAGCCCAATGTGGCTCAAACACACAGAGAGCCTTGGCAGGGAATTGCCTTGGCTGTGTCTGCAGCAGCCTCTCCCTGCACTGGGACAATGTACAAGCCATGGTTTTGTCCAGAACAAGCACCTGGGGAGCATCCAGCCTCACCTGCACAGAGGGGCTCCGTGACTGCCTCACCTGGCAGCACAACCCTTGTACACACATTTCCTGTGCTGTCAGGGGCCTTGCAAACCTGCTGCACCTGAGCCCGTCTGTGATTTCTGCAGGGAGCCTCAGCAGCTTCAGCAATGCTGATATTCAGCATTCTGCCATCCCTTACCTGCAGCCCCCCAGCCCTCAGGAACCTCCCTGCTGCTTTCCTTGCTGCCCAACCTGGCTCGTGCAGCAGCACTCACATTCCCCCCAACTCCAACAGTGGCCATCCCAGCACATTCCATGGACACTGCTCCAGGGCAAAGGATTCTACATCTGCTTGCACAAACACTGCATTGGTAACCAGACACCAGAACCTGCATTTTACTCTGATTTTCCCCTCCCCTCCCTTGGCAGCTGCAGCACCTGTGCCTGGTTCTCTCCAGTCTGTCACCAGAAAACGTGAAAATTCCTGAGTGCCTCATCTCCAGGGCTGCAGACCTCTGGAGCAGTAACCACATATCTTGCTACAGAAATGGGCAAGGCACAGATCCATTTCTGAGACTATTAATTATTCCAACTGTAAGGTGCTGCTCTAGGACAGCAGTACTTAAAAAAACCAACCCACAACAAACCAGCAAACCTTTCACAGTGAGAGTCAGAAGGAAGATCACTGTGGTGTTACCATCACCCTACAAAAAGTAACTGCATTTTAGTTACCACAGCCTTCTACGGCACAGAACCACAACAGGGACATGA